TATGGTCAATTAAGAGAAATGCGGTGGGAAGCAGAGAAAGACGGTAGGAAGCATCTAGAGTCGGTGATTAACAGACGAATACATCATTTTAAAAAATAAAAAAAATAAAATAAAAAAGAAAAATTAATCCAATAGAAAGGAAGTATTGTTAGTAAATGAACTCAAAATTAGTCTAATTATAAATTAATTGGAAAATTAAATATTTTTGTTGAATATTAGACATTATTTTCCATTGTTTGTTTAATATCTAAGTTGATTTAACCACGCCAAACTCATTTTGACGTTGCACTCTATATTTTGAGATATATAGAAATTAATGCTTCTCAAAGGACTTGTCTTAAAAACAATATAATTTTTACACTTCAAGCTTATTGTGATTCATATATGGTAACATGTGCTATTACTTGAAAAAAAAATTATACTTCTTGGAAGTCAAAGAAATAAGTTATTGTCCAATCATCTTATGCAAAAATTGAATATTGCTCCATAAGATGAGTATGTTCTTAATTGGAATAACTAAGTTTGATTACTAACAAAACTCCAAGTGATGAATGTCGCCTTAATCCTCTATAATGCGACAATCAAGCTATCATCTACATTGCCAATTGATGTGTGTGGACTCAACTAGTTTTAAACATACTTTTAATTATAAAATAAACACACAAAGGCAGTGGACCTATCAATTGTGATAAAGCTAAGTAAGTAGGGTATCGAACACATGGAACGGTAAATTAAAACCAAAAACTAATTTTATCTAAATTTAAATAATAAGAAATGTTTTTTCTCTAGTTTTACAAGATTAAAAACTTATTAACTATTACTTAGACTAAAAACTAGAAAATCAAAGATTCAACTAAATTCAATGACGAAGGGGACTTCTGTTTAGTTCAACTCAATTGATCCTATGGTTGATATTATGGTAATAGTGCATTCATACCTTGTCTAAGAATCAACTTATGGTAGAGAATGAAATGTTTGAAGCTGCTGCTAAGGCGTTCACCAACATGATTGGCACAATCACTGATAAAAAGTTTTAGGCAGGCGCGTTAGCTGATTTTGATGTTCATATTGTAGAGAAGCCGTAAAAATATCCAACAATAAATCAAGGGGGAGATTGTTGGGTCATATTTATGGTTTATGATGGGCTACAATTGTTCTTGGGATTAAGGATTTATATTGTTAATGGGCTAAATTTGTTCTCGGTTTAGGGGACCGAAATCACTTTGGTGAGGTGATTTCGGTCAGGTGGTTTTGGGTCGTGATAAGACTTTGTATTTGGTTTAAATAGTTTCAGTCGAATATTTTTGTTCTAGTTGTTCATTCATATTATTTTCGGCTGTGAGAAGGTTCATATGTACCAGACGATTATTGATAATAGAATCGTGTGCATTTGAAATTGTTTATGTGCGTTCTTGAATTATTGTTTGATTAATATTCCGCATTCTTTAAGCAATTAAGATTGATATCTTAAAGATTCATAGTTTTGGGACTTACAAAGGTAGTTCATGGCATGCATTTAAACCATGTCTAACATTTATGACCTTACTTAAGCGGTTACAAAAAGCTTAAAGGCAAAAATGTTTTAGGTTGTTTAATTTGGATACTATTACCATATACTAACTTCATACCAATGTTTTTAGATTTTGGCAGGTTTTACCAACTGGTTTAAACCAGTTTGAGACAAGAAACTTGGCAGAGTCTTATATGGTGGATTTAGACAAGAAGACATGTCCCTGTAAAGTGTAACCATTGAATGGCTATGGGTGTGTGCATTTAGTTGCAGTTATTTCCTTTCTTAATAGGGATGTTGGAAGTTATGTGGATCCAATGTACTATGGAGCATTTTACAGGAACACTTACAAGTTTCCAATGCATGGGACAAATGGAAACAATATGTGGCTATGTACTGACTTTACTCCATCACTACCACCCTTGAGGAGAAAAATGTCAGGCAGATCAAAAGTGAATAGAAGACATAACCCAAATGAAAAGACTACAAAGCACACGGTGTTAAAGTTTGGGAAGAAAATTTTATGCAGTGTGTGTAAACAAGTTTAACATAACAATGTTACATTTCCTAAAGTTAAAAAGCCCAAAAACTTAAGGTTAAGATGAGAAATAAAGCAATTAGTGAAGATGGTAATGGAGGGGAAGGAAGTAGTGGAGCAAAAGCAAATGGAGGTAGTAATGAAGGGGAAGGAGGTAGTGGAACAAAACCAAAAGGAAAAGATAATACATGTAAAAAGAAACATTCTAAAAGGATTATAATTTTTTTTTTTGGCTAAAAGGGCTGAAAAAAAATGGAGAAGACAATACAGGTGCTAATCTAGTGGAGATTGAATAAGGAAAAAATGTTATTTGCTATATAAGTTGTTGGATTTAAGTAGGGATGTTTGTTGTATGTTATGTACTACATTTGGTTGTTAGACTTATATGTGTGTTGTTATTTGAAGTTGAATGTTTACAAACTATGATTTTATGTAATGTAATGGACGTGCATGATTATATTAAGAATCTTTTGTATTATTGTATATGTATGTGGTCCCTTGATTATATTAAGAATCTTTTGTATTATTGTATATGTATGTGGTCCCTTGTGTGGTCCAATTATAATATGTCAAATTATAATATGTGCATGCAAATTAGTGATAATGTGTGTGTATTGGATTACAATCTTACAAACCCAACCATAAATTGTTTTTCTACTTAAAATGGCATTTTTATTAATTTGGAAGACGATTACAACCACATTGGTTACGTATTACACATCACTAGAAAATACTATTAACAACCCATTACAACTTGTACACTATTATCACAAAGAAAATAGCCCAACTAAGAAATAACCAAATTTTCACATTCCCAACATCCTACTGAAGCTTTTTATTCAAGCTAGGCAAAGTTGCAATCATGATTGCCTCACCACTTGTGTTTGTAGTCTCAACTTCGTTTGCCCAACAAATAAACCCATTTCGGGGGTCCTGAATTTAAAGATTTGTGAGTAAGAAACGTTGTGCAAAAAACCCTTTTCAAATCTAGGGCCACAGTAGAAGGAAAGTTGCAATCAATTGTTACCTTTTTAGGGCAAGCATAAAAGGTTCGTCCTAGGTTGGTCTGAGTGGTTGAAGTTTGCATTATAACATCAAATCCACATTAACATTCAACCGATTTTATCGACCCCTTTCATCTTCATACCGTAAATTCCAACGAAATAAGGGCAAGCAAGGAAAACAAGATAAAAAATGGTCACATATCTGTCTCTGTTGTATATGCTCGAGGCTAAAAGGTAAAAGGATGAAAATATCCCCGAACTTCGTCACTAACTAACGGGACTATACTAGGGTTAGTGTTATTAAAAATGTTTATTTAAATTTTAAACTAATATTTAGCTTAGCCATTACATCGTTTAACATTAAACATATCCTAATTAACAAAGGTCATCATTTCCATTACATTAAACACAGATACATAATCATTTATACAAAATTGTTTGTGCTTACACATGTCTTCAACATTCACTTCACAACACTTAGACCAAAAGACGATAACAGGTAGTAGACTACAAACCACATAAACCCTAATAGTTAACACAACAAACAACATTAACCCTAACAACTACATTAACCCTAACACACATATAACCTATCACAACCACATTGATGACAAACACCACTGGATTCACTACTAGATTAGAGAGTGCAGTTTGTCCACGAGAAAACCAAATATCACCACCACGAGTCCCACCACTAAAACAATTAGAGCTTGCACCTTATTCTAATTACAGTCTAATCGGCGCTGCACAGAGAGCATATCGACCCTTGATATCACAAAATCACGTCCTATTTTCTCTTTAATGCGATCCACCTTCACATACCGTTCAACTATTTTTCTCACCAAAATCGTAGAATATTATGTGTAAGTCACTGAAGTGGATCCTATCTCGGAATGTATCGAAATCGATTCTAGTGAGGGTGTGGGGTAGACGTCTTGTGAATCCCATGAAAACGATTGTTGTCTCCTTGTTGGTAAATATTTGGCTGAAAAAGGTATAAAATTTTAGGATTTGATTTATTAAACCATCCATTTTATAAACATTGGGTCCACATTAACCCTTAGGGTCCAAACAAATGATTCAACTCAGCTAAGTGACGTGTATGGCGAATTAACTTATTAGATGACTTGGCTTTGAAACCTCTTAAAGTAGGTCAATGAACCATTTTAGCTGGTAAAACTGCACTTCATACGCCTTAAATACAAAAAAAGAGACAATTTAAACCAAAAGGTAAAACTTCGTAGATCTACAGTGACATTTACCCAATATAATTACATACCATATATGATTACAACATTCTTTTATTTTTTTTATTAATATTATTGGTTTGGTTCGGTTTCTAATTAGGTTTTAGATGTAAACCAACAACCAAACCATATGTATTAACCAAAATTAAAAACATATTTTTTAATAATGGATTGATTAATTTTATTTTAGTTCGGTTTTTCGGATTAATACATATTAAATGGTCGACATAGTTTAAATAAAGTGTAGATTTTGAACCACAAAAAAACGATGTGCAGCTAAAAAGAAAATCTTTCTACAAGGACTTTTTTTTTGCCGATTGTCCTAATCTAGCTTTTCTATAAATATTCTTATTTTTTCATTTTTTTTTGGTCTCTATTATATATCTATAGTAGTATAATCTATCGTCTCGGGAAAGTAGATATGGCGAATTTATGATGCGAAGGCCCAAGGAAAACGGCAAAACGCACGCCATCTGGAATCACCAGACCCCACCACTACCACCCTTCTTCCAAAACACCCACACTGCATCGAGTCTCGACTATCCCCTGCTCCCCCTTTTCTTTTCTATCAAACCACAAATTCAGTCTCTACATATGTTATACCTAATTTTTACTGCTTAAATTGAGTGTAACCCTTCTGGGTTCCCTTAAAATCACTAATTCAAGATTGATAATCAGTTGTCAGTACCAAGTGAATCACAATGGGAACTGGTTCATCAATTAACCTTGATACCAGCGACGATCATGCCGGTGGTCAACTCTATGTATCTCTCAAGATGGAGAGTTACAGTCCCAAAGGAGACCTTGTTCCTCACGTCTTCGGTTCTGCCCCTCTCGTCGGCTCATGGGACCCCTCCAAAGCTGTAAGTTTATCCATTTCTTACACTACTTAACTCCATCTTCAAAACGGGTTATCTCAATGATTTTTATCACTCGTTTGACTTGTATTTAGCTTCAACTTGAACTACGCGTAATCTACTTCAATACCCATGTTTTTCATTTCGTTGATTTTCATTGTATTAGCTTCCAATGGAGCGAGAGTCATCCTCAATGTGGCAATTAAGCTTCGTTGCTTCTCCCAATCATGGTATTCTTTGATTCCCTGCTTTTTTTGTTTATGTTATTACTTTTCAATCAGAACCCCAATTCGATTTCTTAATTTTCATGTTTAAACCGATGAATTTAAGTTCCCTAATCGACCGATTGAGTGATTGATTGATCGATACTTGATACCCCCTGTTTCACAAACAGAGATCCAACACTTTCCCAATCTCTATCGCTATTATGATTTCTGCTTTGAGGAGCAAAAATACGTAACCACATTGACCTTTGTTATGTGTTTAGATACATTGGACTTTAAGTTCTTATTGAAGTCAAAGGATACCAACGAACTATGCATAGTAGAAGAAGGTCCAAACAGGCAATTCATGGGTGGGACCTTGCAAGGGGTTACAAGATTGGCTCTATTCAGGCTAACCACTGATGAAGTTCTTGAGTACAGGGTTTGTATTAAAGCAGATAGGGTTTCACCCTTTGATCTTGCTGCTAGTTGGAGAGCTTATCAAGAAAATCTTGAACCCTCAACTGTGCGTGGGATTCCTGATGTTAGTATAAACGCATTACCCGAAGATAGTGAGGTATGTATGAATGCTTACAGCTTTCAGTTAAGTGTAAAATTACTTACATACCCTTATATTATCTTCTACTACTACTACTCAGAATGGCATTTCATCAAGTTTGGATCTTGATCTTGAACAATATGTAGTCCCAACTCCATCGAGTCCTGTGGTGTATGCTGCAAATTTGACAGAGAATCCAAGATGTTTGAAGCATAAGAAGGAGTCTACTAAAGGTGATGTGGATGTTTCTAATGATCTGCAAACAACCATAAAGGTTACTTTTTTGGTCATATATGGATCGTATAAAGATCTGAATATGAAATCTTACAAAGTGATTATGGCATTTTGAATAGGAAAGGGAAATTGCTAGTAAAGCTCATGGTATGGTTGAGTCAAAATCTGTGGGAACGTTTTCACCATTGGAGAAGGAAAATAGTGAAGAAGGAGTTTTTGTGGATAGAGGTGTGGGATCTTCTCGGTTAGTGAAATCCGCAAGTGCAACCCATTTGCCTGCTTCAGAAGCCAAGGTTTATAGTTTATGCAAAAAAAAAAAAAAAAATTTTTTTTTTTTTTTTTTTTTGGGGGTTTTAGGGTGTTTTTCGTCTTTTTAACTTTGTGGAATATGAAACTTTTAGAACTCAATGCCTGCTGCTGCTGGAGCTGTTGCAGCTGCAGCTGTTGCTGATCAAATGCTTGGACCCAAAGAAGATATGCATCTCGCCATTGTCTTGGTAGGCCCCTTATAATGACTATGACTGTGACTGTGACTGACTGTTACTTTGACTATGATTGTGACTGACTGTTACTTTGACTATGACTGTGACTGACTGTTACTTTGACTATGAATGACTGTTACTTTGACTATGACTATGACTGCGACTGACTGTTACTTTTACTGTGACTGAATGTTACTTTTACTGTGATTGCGGCTGACTGTTACTTTGACTGTGACTGTGACCGACTGATACTTTTACTGTGACTGTGACCGATTGTTACTTTTACTGTGACTGACTGTTATTTTGACTGTGACCGTTACTTTTACTGTGACTGTGATTGTGACATACTGTTACTTTTACTGTGACTTACTGTTACTGACTTGACTGCTACTTTTACTGTGATTGTGATTGTGACTGTTACTTTGACTGACTGTTACTTTTACTGTGATTGTGACTGAACGTTACTTTTACTTTGACTGTGACTGTGACCGACTGTTATTTTGACTGTGATTGTTACTTTTACTTTTATGGTGACGGTGACTGTGACTGTCTGTTACTTTGACTGTGACTGTGACTAACTGTTACTTTGACTAATTGTGGACAAAAATGCAACTTTTGCCCAAAGGGTAAAAGAAGATGGATGGGCCAGGGGCACACTCTCGATCTCTCATATATTAAAAAGACATGAATGCCCTTCCCATCTTTATTAGTAGCTTTTCTTGAATCTTGGAATAAATATTTGAATTTTTTTGGTGAATGTGGTAGGTGGGGTTGCCAGCTCGTGGTAAAACTTTTACAGCTGCTAAACTTACAAGGTATCTCCGTTGGTTAGGTCACGACACTAAACATTTCAATGTTGGAAAGGTGATTTTTAATTTTTTTCCCCCTAACATTATATTCTTTAATCATCAATTGGAAACTACAGAAAAGCATAGAAAATAATTTTAATATATTTTTTTTTTCTTGATGCAACAGTATCGACGCCTTAAGCATGGAGCTAACCAGGTATTCAATGATTTTAAACATATCATTTTTTTTTTATTACTTTTCACTCTTGAATCCCAATCATTGTTTACTTTTAAATCTCAAATGATTATATTAGTCATATTATGAATAACGTTTGATGCAGAGTGCTGATTTTTTTCGAGGTGACAATCCAGAAGGCATGGAGGCTAGAAATGAGGTGCTAATTCATTTACTTTTATTTAATATTTAATTTTATGGTAAAATAACATGTTTTTTTTGACAAATAGTTTTAATACATCACATGCTACTACTAGGTAGCTGCTTTGGCAATGGATGACATGATAGCCTGGATGCAAGAAGGTGGCCAAGTAAGTCCTATGTATGTATGTATGCATGCATGTATGTATGTATGTTTATGATTTAAACATATGGTTGCATGTAGGTGGGAATATTTGATGCTACAAACAGCACTAGTGAAAGAAGGAATATGCTTATGAAGATGGCTGAAGGAAAATGCAAGGTATGTTTGGTATTTGTTTTATTATCTTGGGTGTTATTATTTTAAAATTTTCATGTAATGAACAAGATTATAATACCAAATGATTTTGGATTTTGGATTCAGATCATCTTTCTGGAAACAATATGTACTGATCCACAGATTATTGAAAGAAACATACGCCTCAAGATTCAACAGAGTCCAGATTATGCAGAAGAGTAAAAAAAAAAAAAACTCTCAATAGACTTACTTATAATGCTGTTTTGATTAAGAACTTATGTGTTTGATTAGGGCTAAAATGATTGTGTATTTACAGGCCTGATTTTGAAGCTGGATATCAGGACTTCAAAAGGCGACTTGATAATTATGAAAAGGTAATCTTTTTAATCACAAAAAAAGAAAGAATATATAGGTTTCCAGATTAAGTAAAAAAGAAATTGCATCTAAATCTTTTAGTGTTTTGTTTGTAGATGTATGAGCCAGTGAATGAAGGATCATATATTAAAATGATTGATATGGCAAGTGGTCAAGGTGGACAGATACAAGTAAGTTGTTTTCATGTTTTTATTTCTATAAATCTTTTCAAGATAAATTAATCATCTTTTCTTTTTAATTTTTTTTTTCAGGTGAATAATCTCGGTGGTTATCTTCCTGGGAGGATTGTGTTTTTCTTGGTATGTCACACAAGTTATCCTCATCATTTTCCTCTTTCTAACAAATAAATGTTTATTTTTTTTTTATTTATAATTTTGGCTTGAGTAAATTTTGTCTTAATTACTTTAAAAATAATTTTCAGGTGAATACGCATTTGACACCACGTCCGATTTTGCTTACGAGGCATGGTGAAAGTCGTGATAATGTCAGAGGAAGAATAGGTGGTGACACGGTTTTGAGGTTTGTTTTTTTATAATTATAAAACACAAGGATTTTTCATAATATGTTATATTTAACATCTGATGTAATAAAATATATTTGACTTGTTTAATAGTGAGAAAGGTGAGGTTTATGCTAAGAAACTTTCCAACTTTGTGGAAAAGCGACTCAAAAATGAACGTGCTGCTTCTGTAAGAAATAAATAGCAACATACTTTTATTATAGCATATGAAAAATAAATTATAAATGCTATAATATAAATGTAAAGTTTTTAAAGTACATAATATGTGTTTTTGGTGTTGTTTAGATATGGACAAGTACATTGCAAAGAACAATATTGACAGCAAATCAAATTGGGGGGTTCCCAAAGGTTAGTGTCAATGTGAAATTAAGTGTTTTTTTTAATAGTTTATGAAATAATAATAATGTTTATTTTTGGTGTTTTGTAGATACAATGGCGTGCACTTGATGAGATAAATGCGGGTGTATGCGATGGAATGACATATGAAGAGATAAAAAAGAACATGCCCGATGAATACGAGTATGTTTTATTTCATTCATCTAAAATCTACATATTTCTTTATATTCTTGAATCTTGATTGTTTTTTCATTTTTTTTTTTTTTAAATTTGTGTATTGAAGATCACGCAAGAAGGATAAATTGAGGTATCGATACCCTCGTGGCGAGTCTTATTTGGATGTTATACAAAGGTGTGCAATTCCCTACCTTTTATTTATTAATATTCAAGGTTTATTATTATTATTATTATTTTATTATTTTTTATAATTATAATTGGATTATTAATCCAGGTTGGAGCCCGTGATCATCGAGCTTGAACGCCAACGGGCTCCCGTTGTGGTCGTATCTCACCAGGTCAAAGCTTACTACACCTTTTTTTATTTATATAAATAAAACCAAGCAAAGAAATGAAATTGGATTCCATTCTATTTTTTACAGGCTGTTTTGAGAGCTTTATATGCATATTTTGCTGATAGACCATTGAAAGAAATTCCACACATTGAGGTAACCAAACACACACACACACACACATACATACACATGTACAAATAACAAACCCTAACTTGGATATGGATGATATGTGATTATGTATATTTTTTCTCTTTCAGATGCCATTGCATACAATAATCGAGATACAAATGGGAGTCACTGGTGTTCAAGAGAAACGATACAAGCTCATGGATTGATCCATTTTACAAACATTAATGTTTTCTTGAACTTGCTAACACTTAAACTACACAATTCATTCAACTTTTATAACTCCTCAAACATCATTACACACAACATTCAATAATATCGTCATCAATGAAAAATACTCTTTTTTACCATACCATACCCCTTATATCTGGTTACTCTAACAAGACACAAAATGTCTCTGATACATATAGTTTTTGTATATAACTAGAATCGATTTAGGCATCAAAGTTAAGTAATTAGGCCCAAAGAGCAAGAATAGACATGGAAGTGGAGCCAAGAACAAGTGCTAAAAAAGATGCCTTTTTTAACCATGTTTCAGAGCTCATTAGCTTATTATGAAAGAAATCAAGAGCAATGAGGTCCACTAAACCCATGTATATTAAAATCCCTGAAGACAATGAACCCAAAAGTCCTTCAAGAATTAATGCATTTGGGTTGCTATCATCATACCCTGTAATTGAGAACAGAATCATACCCAACATGATCCCCATTGGTGTTGTCACTGAAAACATCAAACACATGTATGCAGTTGTCCCAAATTTGAATCCCGCCTGTATCAATCAAATAAAAAAAAATATTGAGTCTGATTCAATTAGACTGAGATTATGATTAGTCAAATTATGATCCTATCTTGAAAATAATAAAAAAAGTTGGCGATTTTGTTATATATATCAAACACGGACTGAAACGGTTTTGGACCTCAGAAATCAATACAGATGGACGGCTAAGATTAAAACAATTCAATCAAACTGGTGGCGGTGGACGGTGGTTTACCTGAGCGATGCAACCGCCGAGGCCCATCCCTTCGAAGATCTGATGGAACGCCAACGCCGCCACCAACGGCTTAATCGTGCACTGGTTCTGTGACATCCCCATCGTTACTCCGATAATCACCGAATGGAAGATAATCCCTATTTCCAGTACTTGCGATACCATTCTCTGTTTCATCTTCACCATCTCCTCCTCATCCTTCAACCGCCGTCTCTCCTCCCCCGCTTCCACAACCTCAATCTCCACCACCGATTTTCTCACGTCCTCGCTGTCTCCTATCCGTGTGTAAGCGGTAACCTCCTTGCTTCCATGTACGTGTCCGTGACTGTATCCATCAACGTGCGAAGTCGCCGTTAAATCCACTAACAGCGCCGTCAATACTCCGATCAATGTAATCAGACCGGAGAACGGGAAATCCTTCCATGGATGATGCGATGATACCTGACAATCCGCAAGTGCGTCGTACGCATCCGGAAGCACGTGAACAAGTGAGGTAGATAAAATGACTCCCGCTGCGAAACATTTAATGATCAAAATTGCTTTATCGTATAGAGGCTTGCCGTGAAACACACGAGCAAGCATCACCGGCGCCGATATTCCGACGACGCTTGTGAAAAATATAACGAACATTGAGATCAGCTTGAGCGTCGCCGCCGCATGGCCGTCGCGACATGCAAGTGCTCTGGCGGAGTCTACGGCGCACAAAGTCATGATGATTGTTGATGAAATTGTCTGTGGGGGTATTGAAGATGGAACTTCCACAGTCAATTTGGATTCTAAGTCATGATTCCATTAACGATTTCTTGGTAGAAATTATGGCCAAGTTTTATTGGTTTAATGTGTTGGAAAAATGTTTGAGCAACCAGACAATTACAAAACAGTGTAGTCTTACACTGAATTCCACCAGTTTGTTTTGATATTCCACAATGAGTCCTTTCTCTTTTCTTAATTACACTTCACCACCTTGTACTTTCGGAAAAAGACTCGAATGTAATCTTTAACCACGAAAAAGACTGAGATTGTGAGAACTAGAAACAATATGGACATTAAACAATTTTAAACTTTCATAACTTCCAAATCAGAAAGAGTAATACATCTAATAAACAAACCAATACCAAATGATTTATACAGTGTCTCCAAAATCATTTTTTCAAATAGTTGAATATGATATTATTTATAATCTTTATTAAGATAAGTCAAATGAAATTAATGATTTATATACAAGCGTAAGGACAAGGATATTAAATTTGTTTTATGTATAAATTTTACATATTTCATATAATTGGTGGTATGATTGGTCATTACAATGAACCTTAGGGATTGTTATTGTAAGCTTTGCAATTAATAAAGGTGGGGTTGGAGTGCCTGATGACTAGCTCTTTTCACTGGTCCGTTTTTTAGCTTCTTTTTTTCCCTTTACGTACTTTATATTATTTAATGTTTTATAAATTATAAAAATAAAACACACCTAAAAAAAAAATCATATTTTCAGTTTTTGTTTTTTATATAGTTTCAGTTATTTTTATTTTATAAATATTATTTTTTGTTTTTTTGTTTTTTTTTTTTTGTATATTTATGTATACAATAAATTTATCAAAAATAAAAGATCTAATTATAGTATATATTAAATTTGATTAAGTACATACTTTATGTGATTTAGATTTAGATGTGTAATATAATTATATGTTCCATATGTTCGTGATTTGTCCTCTTTAATTATTAAACTTACTTTTTATTTTTATTTTTATTTGATGTTACTTGAAAATATGATATTTTCCTAAAATGATTATGATTCGTTTATAAAGTATGAATCATTGTTCGAGAAATTAATAAAAGATATTTGAGTAAAAAAGAGTTTGTATGAACAAATAATATTCTTAAATAAATAGTAAACGGTTAGTTAATAGATGTTAAATGGGTTTGAATGAAATGTTTTAGAAGTCAATAACATCAAACTCTTTGTATTAAATATATTCCAAACAAACAACATTATATACCATTTTGTTTATAAAAACTCACAACGGCTTTATCAAATGAAAATACGGCTTTACCAAACAAATTAACAGCAAAAATACAATATTATACCACAATAACTTAAAAGCAACACTTAAGATTTACTGTAGTGCATGAATATCATTGGTTTTAATAATTATAAAACATTTCTATAAGTAAAATTATTGTAGTCTCTAAACTTTAAAGCATAAAAACCCCACACCCAATATCGCCTTCTTGGTGCACATGCACTTAGACATGTGACGTGTATGAATCCCATTTTCTTAATTTTCAAAAGCTAAAATCTTAAAGCAAAAGATATATCAAGACATTAGCGGTCGAACAGGAAGCTCAACTCTAGAAGTATATATACTTACGGAAAGATAATGTTTTATTGATCGTCTTTAAATATTATATAATTTACATAATAAGATATCATTTATTGATGTTTTATGATGTCGATCATAAAATATTTAAATGAAAAACAAAACACCTTTTGTTGTACGTACATCTTTCGTTACCCACAGTCCCACACACGTAACACACATGCAATGCAAGACAATAACACACATGTAGTGATGTACACATGGCACATGCATGTACACTGGCAAACGCACACAAACAACACACATACGAGGATAGCGTTTTTGTAGAATTATGTTTAGATAGCTTAATTAATTTCCAATTGGCTTGTAACATATTCCAATTAAGCTCATATATATAATAGTACATGTCGAGATATTAACTGAATGATTTACTTACGTTACGTAGACCTATATATGAATATGATGATTTTATGTTGAACGAGAGACTTTGCATGTATGGTTAGATATTGAAGGTATTCCTTTGCGACCTCGGTGCACAAACTCTTTCATTAAGATAATGAATTCGATCCAACAGCTGTTGCCACCTATGCTATCACTACCACCTACCACCACAGTTTTCTAGGTCCAACCTACATAAATTTCTTCTTTGGATCAATTGTTACCTTGATTAGCATGACCAACTCATTAAGAATCGGGTGCGTGTTGGTTATTTCTTTAATGGAAGGTCATCAATAAATAATTGCGGAAAGGGTTCCCGTGTGGTCATTTGCATGGATCTTTATGTTCTCAGTGGGAGGGTTAATTGTGTTGAGATGCAAACCCAATCCCACATCGGTAAAAAGAGAAATTATATGCTAACATATAATGCAATTGATAATCCCTTCCATCACCAATTGGTTTTAGAAAATGAAATCTCATTGTTCTTCTATGTTGACATGGTTGGGCTAGTAGTGATCCTAACAAATGGTATCAAAGCTACAGTCGTAGCCCGAATGATGTGGTCGACGTAGGTACGGTCTAATGAAGTTGATCCTCAAGCCTTCCTTTTATCGAAAGTCTCCTGATGGCCTTTGTTGGCTGCAACACGAAGCAGTACAATCTCAACCTAATAGAATATGTCGACATATAATAAATAAAACAATAATATACCCTTAAGCCCAACCGAGTTAACCCAAAGTGAGTACGTGGGGCGTACTCGAATGTTGACCGCCATGAGGGTGGTTGACCTCGTACGCGATGCGTACTCCAGGTATGCGAGGGGTACTCCCAGAAGCCCAAAATCTCAATAAGTGCTTAATGGCTTAAGCATTCACGTTTATCTTTCAGATCCATGGCTAAAATACCCTCAAGATTCATAAAGTTTCCAACTTTATGACTTTGTATGTCCATTAAGTGCTTCTTAATCTATTAAGACCTTCTAAGTGATGCATGGAGCGCAAAACCAACCACTTGGAACCTATTTTTATGACTCAAAACCCTTCCAAAGGTCTGAAAGGACAACATAATGGGTCAAGAACATGCTATGTTCACGAATCTCCACATTTGGGACAAAAAGGACCAAAAATCATTCCAACATAAGCTTTAAATGAAACTTCACCAAGTTCAGAACTTTATACCTCAAAATGGTGCCAAAAGGTGGTGTGATCCTGAATCTAAAGAGCTTCACTCCTACAAGGTGGTCTTTCCTTCCTCCATTCTTATTCAAAAGCACAAAACACACACTCAAGCTTAGAAATGCTTCACAAGAGGGATTAATGATGTGTATTATGAACATTGGTTTGACATGCGGAATTAAAGAACACACAAAGAACACGGTGATTTTAGTTTTTAAGAGATGCATTTGATTATGAAAGGTGTTACAAAAAGGTATCTAGATCTAAATCTACATAATTAACACACACTAACACTTTCAATGTTACATCTCTCAAGCACACTTCTACATGTGGAATGAACCCACCTTATATAGAAGTGTTTACATCTCTTTCTTTCTCTCTCTCTCTCTATATATATATATATATATATATATATATATATCATGTCACAAGGCTAATTTACCACAACAAGTAGGTAGGGGTGGCAAATCGTGCTATCGTTTCGTGTTTCTGTCTGACACGACACGACACGATAATGTTTTTTGTAACACGAACACGACACGATGTCGTGTTTTTTAACTAACACGAAAACTAACAAATTAAAAAACGACAAACAAGACACGACACGACAAATATAACATATACTAAAAATGAGTTTATTTAAGGAATATTTTATCACATATAACACGACAAACACGAAAAACACGATAAAAAACTAATAAATCGTGTCAATTTCGTGTCGAATTTTGAACATAAACACGACATGACACGACATCGTGTTTTTTACAGCTAACACGAACACGAACACAAAACGAACACAAAACGAACACAAATTTAAATTTTAGTTTCGTGCCAATTTCGTTTCGTGTCGTATATTTTTGTCGTGTCGTGTCATAAATGTTGGGTTTTGAGCAATCTAACACTTCCTAAGTGTGCATGCAACCCTAATAAATCTTGGATCTATGTTTGTCTAAATACATGCAAAATAATAATTTTTCCAAGGTTCATAACCTATCTAACATGGCATGGGGTACTTTTAAACATAAAAGAATTAGATGAGATTACATACCTTTTGATGATGAGTTTGATTCCTAAGGAGTTTGAGGGCCAAGCACCAATAGTGTGAATGCCTCAAATGGAATCACAAATCACCACAAACTCTTGGAAAACTTTGAGAGAGTGTATTCACACTTATAAAATCGGCCACACACAAACACACATAAGCTAGCTACACTAGTAGCTATTTCATGCAACATAAGCATGCTTATATAGTGTACATGATTAAGGTGAAACCCTAATAACCCATGACCTTTCCTTTCCCAAGGATCCATGGGTTAAAAGCTCCATGGATCATCCATGGACTTCCATATAAGCCTAGCCCATTACCTAATGAGTATTAGCCCACACCATATAAAACAAATAGCCCACAATCTAATTAGTTTTCCCTTTAATCTCTAAATTAATTCATAATTAATTTAAGACTAAGACTAATTAAATAACATGACTTCATATTAATATATTATAACTTATAATATATTAATAATCATATGTGTATAACTCTCATAAAATTATCCATAAATAGTTTGGATGAAATGCAACCCAAATGGACCATGCCGGGTCGGGTCAAATATATACCAAATAAGTTATGGACTTAGACACCTTATCCAACAGACTCCCACTTGGATAAGTCTAATAACTGTATTTGCGTATGTTACTTCAGGAACCAACCAACAATCGTAGCTCTCGAAAACTCTGTTGAACTAAGAAGCGCCATTTTAGATAAGTGATCATATAATCCTCTGTTCTCATGATATCAGCCGGAAAAATACATGGAACAACATCGTACTTATTGTCCAACAGTTTGTTTCCCGATTTTCGATTTGTTTGACAAAGAACTTAATCGAATACATTAATTTAGTTCTGACCGGCTGGTACATAGGTCACAACAAAATCATCGAGGGGCCCAGATATCGCTTCTATTTCTAGAAGGAACAGATAAAATTCGACTCATATGCTTGTTCTACTACTTGTTGAATTGTACATAAAGGCACGTTTTATAACATTAAGTTACTGATGCGTTTACGTGCAATCAATGCACAACCAACTCATACGTAACAACTCATATCTCTAGGTTTGAAGATTTATATGATATTACCGTCTCACGATCACTCGAGATAAATTCCATGAAGTGATACAAGTG